ATATAATTATATAGGGGAGATCATAGGGACAAGTAGACTCATTTTTTAAACAAAATTAAGAGATTTATCAAAAAAATAATTCTACACCAATTACTACATTTGACACACTCTCTCTCTCTCTCTCTCTCTCTGCCCTCCCTCCTCTCTCCCTCTCCTTCCCTCCCTCCTCCTCCCTCTCCTCCCCCCTCCCTTCCCTCTTTCTCTAAGTCGTTTGCCTCATGATCATTGTCTTGTTTGTATGTTTATTGATTGTTTTGATTATATCTTTTTGTCGTATCCGTTTTTCTGTAACTTCTCTGACAAAGAATATCTACAGACAGAACTCAATCACTTAAAAACAGCCTTATAGAAAAACGAAATCAGAACACAACATTGAAACAGGATTTCAAATACTGTTTGACAAAACGATCACAATAGCCAACATTACATCATACTTTCCAAGAAAGTATAAAGAAAGTATAAAGTAGTATAGAGATACAAAAACACCCTAACAATCTAAATAGAGATAATGGCTACAACATAAATGAAATATGGAAAACTATTCTCCCAGTTAATGAGGACTGACCGATTTCCTCCTCTCCCTACCCCCCACAATTCTCTTCTTTCACTCTTCCTTCCATCACTCTAACAAGTAGTGTAATATATAAAAGGGGAACGACCCGGAGAAACAGCTCAGTATCAGGCTCCTCGCTCCTGATGAAATGAACTGCAAGGTTCACAAAACATTGGCATTCCAAGAATGGATCTGGACACGAAAGAAACTCGCGAAACGCATAATCTTTATATAAAATCAATTGTCGAATCCTAATTTATTAACGCCAGAAAGATGTCAGGTGTTGTCCGTTCTTTATACTTTATAATATATGATATCAACATTTAAATTGTCATTGTAGATTGCAACTTGTCTATTATAAATGCGCCAGAAATCTAAGTATGGAGTGAATGCGCAAGTCTATTGAGAATGATACATACATATAACGTATAATTATCTTTTCAACCTAACCAACATGTGTGTTCACAATGATTTTAATTGGAATGATGTAAGAATTCTGAGTAGTGAACAATCATATAATAAGTGTTTAGTTTCCGAAATGATACACATAAAAAAACAGCAACACACTTTGAATAAACAAAATGACACGGAATCTGTTCCAGATGCATATCTCCCTATAATCCAATTATTATCTCCTTCCTAATTACTCGCTTCTGTAGTGGTATTTCTTGGGAGGAAGATATTGTGTATCACGTATGCTTCGAATTAGCATCTATAAGCCTTATGCCAATGATCTCCTTCTTTTTTAAAATTAATGGCTCTCACCTTCCGAAATAATAAATGGAGATCGATGCGGCCAGATCACGTCCTTATGAGAGATACAAAAACTAAAAGTGATGCAATGCCCGCAAAAATGGCGAAGCTCGCCCGGACATCGGGCGCCTGCGTCTACGGCGACGTCATGCCGCGTGGACGCGACGTTAGGACGAACGAACGGGTCCAAAACCACGAAACGGCTATGTGTGTTTTAATGCTCAGTCAAAATCGGCAACACTTTCAAAAATATAACTTGTAGCATGCGAACCGAGATAGATCCGCCGCGGGCGAGCTTCGCCATGGTTCTTTAGAACTCATGTCCATGATCGTCTAATCATTATCGATGCGCGTCAGCGCCTTACCAACGCTTTTCGTGAGCGCTCCCATCACTTCCCCAAGTGGCTTTTAAGGCACGCTTTTTTACACAATACCCTTTCCCTTTTATCAAAAGGCCAATACACTTATTCTTTACAGCTTACAATATAAAATCCTTATATCTCGAGTTCGGTTTAACAACTCGTTTTGATTTTGGATTTTGCACTTCCTCATTCCCTAACTTATCTGTCTCGATATTATCACTATTTCTTTTACGTTCTGATCCACTCTTTCCATTTGCTCTCCTTGTAGACGCTCTCTATTCGCGTGCTCTACGTCTTCTTCTAGATACACTGACTCATCTCTTAGGACTAACTCCTCTTTGTCCTTATATGATGCGTCAAATGCCATCGATTTCGGCGAATTGTGCCGTTCCCCTTCTTACAACATTAAAAATTTGGGTTCTTGTCTACTTCAGTAACTTCCGCATAGATTCGTTTGTCTATAACCCATACTTTATCTCCTACTACTAAATCTGATATTTTCTTCACTCGATGCCTTTTATTGTAATTAATCTCGTTTTTATTTTTTCTTTCTTTTTCAAATTCTGTAACTTTTTTGTTGATTTATGAATCTTCCTAATTTAGTAGGTAACATGCTTAAAAAGTCCGATAGAATCAGATAGAAAAAAACTCTATCCAATTGAATCGTGTTTATGGTTCGTAAATTTCAGGTTATTTACCTGATATATATGGTAGATTTTCTATATTTCTTTATCGTTTTTGTTACACGATTTAGACATCGTTTTTAATATCAATTTTTATCTGGTCATGTTTTATCATAATTAATAGTATTGTATCGTTTTAATCGTAAATTTCATATTTTTAAAAAAAAGCTTTTTATAATTATTAAAATACAGTTCTTATTTTTTTTATTCATTGTGGAATTAATTTATATTTTCACATGCAATTTATTAATTACAATTATATGCATCGGAAATTTATAATTTTTGAAAACGCGTATTGGAATCGATTGAGATTCGAACCTAAGGTCTACAGGGTGACAGTCTAACACTGAGCTATAATCGCACGCTTGTCTGAATACTTTAGCATGTGATAGTTATACAGACATTTCTGAATTAAATTACATAAGTTCTTATAAACATTGTATTATGGTTATGCCTTAAATATCGTTTTTAACAATCTTAATTTTAAATTACTTTCCTGATATAGATTTTCTTTATTTCTCTATCATTTTTATCATATAACTTCATTGTCGTTTTTAAACAATTTCTTGTTTTATGAAAATTAATAATTAATAATCTTATTGTGTTTTTGAATCATAAATTTCAGATTATTTATCCAAAATATTAGATAAATTTTCTATACTTCTGTATCATTTTTGTCAACTCGTTTTCAATTTATTTTTATTAAAATTAATAATTTTTTTATATTTTTAATTTGTAAATTGTAGAATATAAAATTTAATCGTAATTGAAATTTACGATTAAAGATATGATAGAATATCTTACTAATTTTGATAAAATACGACTAAAATAATTGATTAAAACCGAGATTTAAATTGTATGATACGGAAATAAAAGATATATGTCGCATACTTTAGATGAGTAATCTGACATTTATGATTAAAAACGAGGTTTAAACTATAATAAAAACGATACAATATTTTTAAAAAACTGTAATTAATTTAATCCAGAAATGTCCCTATATGTTATAAGATAGATGGAAAAATTACCGTATCTTATCGTTGGCAACATAATATGACATTTAGTTTATTAAATAATTAATTATTCAATGACCTAAGTGAAAACTTAGTTATATAACAACGGTAGGATAATATTTCTATAACATCTACCTTATTTAAACGTATAGAGAATGTTTTTGGATTAAATTGTACATATTCGTATATATATCATCCTATCGCTTATTTTATATTAAATCAGATAGTATGACAGAGTAATTTGTATACAGTTAATTATTCTATCAGAGATTAAATTATATAAGTTCATATAAACATCCTTTCGTTTATTTTTTATTAATCCGATTAAATAATGATAGGATCATATAGAAAAGCTTATGAGTTCCGGTAAGTATTCTATCGTATTTATTTATTGGATTGTCCGGAAAGTTCGTGCCGATTTTGAAGGAAAATTGAAACGCAGAAGATTTAAATTTTAGTATACATTTATTAAATTATATAGGTGCCATTCTACAACCTTTGTTCATCTTTCAGATACCTTGAAAATTCCGTCTTTCCAGAATCTCTCAAGTTTTTCAGCGGAAAATTTTTCTAAGTGATTTTTTACCTCAACCAAAGAGTTGAAGCTTTTTCCATTAAGGGTATTTTATAATGATCGAAATAGATGGAAATCAGAGGACGCAAGGTCTGATGAATATGGTGGATGGAGTAAAAACATCCTAACCGAGTTCCAACAACTTTTGTCGAGTTATCAAAGACACATGAGGCTGCGCATTGTCCTGATGAAACACGACGCCCTTCCAATTCTATTTCTGGATTTTGTTCAATTGCTGTCTTCAATTCGTCTAATTGAGAACAATACTTCTCTAAATTTATCGTCTCGTTGTTTGCTAAAAACATAATACAGGATCCCTTTCCAATCCTACCAGACACAGAACATGACCTTCTTTGAATGAAAACTGACTTTTGGGGTGACTAAAAGTGGTTCATTCCGCTTTCTTTTTCGCTCAACATTATTGTAAATGATGCATTTTTCACTCCCCGTCACTACTTGCTTCAAAAATGGTGTCTCCTGCGTTTATAGAGCGAGTGGTCGCAAATGGAAATGCGATCCATCAGATTTTTCTTCGTTAAATTGTGGGGAACCCATACATCAAAACGATTTATGTAGTCAAGCTTCACAAAATGCTCATGAATGATGGATTTTGACATATTTAATATTTCTGCTAATTTACGTATCGTATAGCGTATAGCGTTATTCTCGATCAGTATTTTAATCTTCATCTGTAATGGAGGGCCTACCCGGACGTTCTTGATCTTCAAGGTTGAAATCACCAGCTTTAAATCTAGCAAACCACTTCCGCACAGTTCTTTCAGCTACAGCACCATAAACAGTGCATATCTTGTTTGCCGCTTGTGGCATTTTTGCCTTTCCGGTAAAAGAAAAGCATTAAATGCCTAAAATACACTTTATTTTCTTCCATATTCAAAGGCGTATAAAACTGAAAAAAATTAACGTATCGCAACCAAATTTTTTTTCCAAGCCTGAAGTACCGTCTTTTACGATATATACGCATGTCATTTGTTTTCAATCGTTCTGATATATTCAGATATATACCTGTCCTTACGCCACCTATCAAAAATCGGCACGAACTTTCCGGACAACCCAATAATATATTGTAAGATATAAAACGATATTTATAACTTTTTTATTTATAACTTTTTTATCTGTCATGATTTTAATGTCCGATAGGTCCTGATAAAAATTACATAGGATTTCTATCAGATTTCTATAAATTTCTATCGTTTTTTATCGAATTTTTAAGTAAGGTTACCAAGTAAATCCAATGAATTTAGTTACTAAGTATACACTTTATGAATCTGATCTTCAATTTGTGTAGATTGATTTTGTTTCGACCATAATTTTGAACACTTAACAAAAGTATTTCAATATTCTTTTATTATGCTGAATCATTCATTGTCTCTTCTGTATCATGTACAGCAATGAGATTTAATGTATGAGAGACACATCTTATATATACAATATATTGTAGAGTATTGAAGAGTAATCTCATTTTCAAAATCGGAATCATTATAATATTTAAATCCAGATAATACATCAACTAATGGAATAAAAGCTAATTGACTACATTGCAGACTGAAAACGATCCATTTGTATAGCGAAATTATGTATAATTTATATAGATAAATTATATATATTGACATTCACATGGAAAGTCACATGGAAATATATAAAATTTCATTTGTATTTTTCATATATATTTTGATAAATTTTTCGTTATAAAACGATATAAAATTCGTTATAAAACGATAAAATTTTATAGAATTGGTTTCTTACTTTGCTGATAGAAACTCATTGAAATTTCAGATTGATAACGATTTAATTTTTGTTGTTAATATAGGTGTGTAAGCTTAAATTCGCTTTTTTAGTCAGAAAAAACATTTTTTTTTCCTAGGAAGCAAAAATAAATTTATTCAAAGTATTTGCCCTCGCTAACTATACATTTTTCCTATCTTTCGGGCAATTTGTGTATACCACGCCAAAAATTCCTCATCTTTTGAGGCAAACCATTCATCAAGCCATTTTCGTACGTCTTCGTAAGAATCAAAGTGCCGCTCAACGAGCGCATAGCCCATCGACGAAAACAGGTGATAGTCAGAAGATGCCTGGTGAAGGTCTGAGTAAGCGGGATGAGGTAGCACTTCCCAGTTGAGTCTCCAAATAGTTTTGGACCATTGTTGACGTGTGCGATGGTGCGTTATCGTGGAGGAAAATCAGCTTGTTATGTCTTTTCCGATAATGCGGCCTTTTTTCACGCAGAGCACGGTCCAATTTGATCAGTTATTGGTGGCAGCCGTGAGCATTAACAATTTCACCAGGTTTTAACTCGTAGTAGATGACACCCTCCTGATCCCACCAAACACACAGCATCGTCTTCCATCCGAAGCGATTTGATCTTGAGGAAGATATTGATGATTGGGCGGGATCAATCCAAGATTTCTTGCGTTTAGGATTCTGAAAATAGATCCACCTTTCATCCCCTGTCACAATCCGATGCAGGAACGACTTTCTTTTTTGTCTGGAAAGAGAATTTGGCATGTGTTTTGGCGTCACTCCACCTGCCTATCGTTCAGTTCATGCGGCACCCATTCCGATCTTTCCGATCCGATCTTTTGAGTGACAGATCTTTTTCTGCCAGATTCATTTTATGCAAAAACGCGTCGAATGAACCTAATTTTATCAACATCGGAAGTGAAGAGGCTAAACTCAATAAGTATCATAAAAGTATAATTTATGAATATTACGATTATTAAATATTTCAAATACTCACAATCAATGATATTTACAAATAATAATATTTATTGATATACATGTATTTATGTGCAAACTATTAAGTTTATAAATAAATGAATTAAAATCAATTATTACATATGTCTTTTATATTCACGCAAAAACAATTTTTAGAAAATGTATTTTGCAATTACAAACTCATAGAAGGTGTTTGAATTAATTCTAAAGCAAACTATTCCGTTTATCTTTGCTTTAAAATTAATTTCAAGATTTTTTTCTGGGAATTGTATGTGCAAAAAACTTTAAATTAATTTAGATTAATATATAGCAACATAACAGTCACACCTAGTTTTATAACAATAACGTAGCAAATTATCAAACTTTTATATAACTATTATATAACATTAAGTTACATGTTATATTTATATCATGTAACTGCAATGATTCGTGAGCGAGAAATTACAATTAACGTGGACGTAAAATGTTATTTACACGTTATATTGGATGTTTTCCAATGTACACAGTATGTAAATTTTTTCATTCCAATGACATTCCAATGACAATTTCATTCCAATGACATAGTATGTAAATATGAAACCGGAATTTTTTAATAGAAAATACACGTTTATTGCATGAAAATGATAAAAAATATTTTATTCGAAATATTGCCCATCAGTAGCTATACATTTTTTCCACCTGTTTGACAATTTGTGAATGCCACGCCAAAAAAATTGTTACTCTTTTGAGCCAAATCAGTCATCTAATCATTTTCGTACATCTTCGTAAGAAGTGAAGCGCTGCTGAGCAAGTGCGTGTCCCATCGATGCAAATAAGTGATAATCGGACGGAGTTAAGTCTCGTGAGTCGCATGCGAAAGTATTTCCCAACCAAATGCCTCAATCGTTTCTTTGACCAGTTTTGCTGTGTGTGATGGTGCATTATCATGAAGCAAAATCATTTTGTGTTGCCTTTTTTGATATTCCGGTCGTTTTTCACACAAAGCTTGATTCAAATTGATCATTTGTTGTCGGTAGCGTTCAGTATTAACGGTTTCGCCAGATTTTAGCAGCTCATAATAGATCATACTTTTCTGATCCCATCAAACACAGAGCATTGTCTTCCGTCCATAACGATTTGGCCTTGCAGTCGATGTCGATGGTTCGCCTGGAGTTACCCATGATCTTTTACGCTTAGGATTCTCAAAATATATCCACTTTTTATCGCCAGTCACAGTTCGATGACTTTCTTTTGTACCTGGCGAGCAGCATTTCGCAAGTGGTTTTTCGGTTTTTCTGCTGTCTTTCATTCAGTTTATGTGGAACCCATTTTTCCATCTTCTGGATTTTTCCCATTTCAAATGTGGAGATGGCTTCTCGTGTCAATTGATCCGCGAGTTGTTGTTGAGTTTGAGCGTCATCCTCATCCAACAATGCTTGCAATTCACTGTCTTCAAACTTTTTCGGTGGTTTTCCACGTTCTTCGTTTTTCATATCAAAATCGTCACTTTTGAATTTTTTAAATCACTTAAAGCACTGTGATTTACCAAGAGCATGCTCACCCGTAATCTTCGACAAGCATTCGATGCGATTCTGCAGCAGTTTTCTTCAAATGATAACAGAAAATCAATGCTGTCCATAAATCGTAGTTTCCAGGCACAAAATTCGACATGTTCAACGCTATTACAAACTATACTATTGTATGAAATTTGTATTGTTGTGAGTTGAAAATCTTTGTCAGATGTTAGAACAAGGAAATGGCGTCAATGGCGCCGTCTGACGGCAACTATTGACAGCTATGGCCATCTATTGGTAAATTCCGGTTTCATATTTACATACCTGGTAGAAATTTCAAGTCTAAAATTTCAAAAAGTAATAATCAAATATCCATTATAAGCAAATATCATTTATCTTGACATTTAAACAGATCTACTTTTTGCTATCTTTCTGAAAATCTTTTTTCCAGAAAGATTCTTTAATATTTTTTTTCTGCTCAATACAATTTGGACAGTTCTCCATTAAAGTTCTTATCTGACTACTTATATCACTACTTAGATCAATTGTTTTACCATTTCCTTATATTTATTAATACCAGCGTGACCATTGTATAATTCAGATAATATTTCTAATTGTAAATTCGATGATCAACCTTGAATTATATAACAATCAATCCTCGCACACTAAGATTTTTTTTAAGATTATAAAAAGGCAGTAATTCATCTTCTAATCATTATCTTGCCATTTTCTTGTACAATAATTCTTTAGTCTCGGAAATGTAATCTTTTTTTTTTGTTTGTCTTTTATTCTGTCTAATATATTTTTAGAAGCTGGAAAACTACTAATAATGAAGTTTACATAACTATCTATCTCTTGAAGCAACTCGTCTCTTGAAACAACTTTGATTCACTGACATTGACTGAATATCTTGATGAACCATCCGTTAAAATCAATTGTTTATCTATACAAAAACTATTTCATAATTATATCGCATTAATTTTAACCTGATTCTCTGTAACCATGTTAAATCATCCAGTGGTTTACTCTGTAGAATTTGTAATAACAGTTTACGATTTGGATCTCTCAACATTAATTTAATTCTTATTATAAAGTCTTTTAAATATTCTGGCGAAAGCGAGAGCTAATGCCTCCTTTCTTCTATCTGACTATATCTTTTTTCTGTTTCTTTAAGTATAGTTGACGTATAAGCTACTATTTCGCGAATATCGTCTTTACCTATTATATTTGCATTAACGCTGTGCCTAATCCATAACTGGATGCATCTGCCTATAACGCTATTTTCTTAGTGTGGTCATAGTACGACAATGTAGATACTAATAATTTTTTAAATTCATTGAACGCTCTTTCCTGTTATTCAAGCTATACTGCACATTATTTTTCAGTAATGAATTTAGTGATTCTAACACATGTGATTTATTCGGCACAAACTTACTAACATAATTTACTACGTACAAAAACACATATAAAAACATAGACCAAATAACATATAATATAATAGATGGCCTCATGAATATAGCAAATTATTATAGCTGGTTTTCATTAATTGTGATCTTTCAAAAGTGTAATAAAGTAAACAAGAAGAAACAAACAGTAAGA